GAAAATCTTTTCCATGCCTCTATCCTAGCTTCCGATGATTGCTAGCAATCTTTCGCATTCCTTGGCCTGTACATGCATCACTCCAATCTCTCTTTCTTCATATGTCACTCTCTCTTCTCTGTGTCTGTATCCAAATCTCCCTGTTCCTACTGATCACTGAATTAGTACTCACTCTAATATAGTATGACCTCATTTTAATTTGAATACACCTGCAAACACCTCATTTCCAAATAAGTCACAGGTTCTGGGTAGACATGAATTTTGGGGAAACACTATTCAACTCAGTAGAGAGGTAAAATGTAAGCCATATGTTTTAAAACTGTTTCCACCAAAATGATTATCTATTGTAAAGTATGTCTTTTAGATAAAGAAGGAATAATATAATAGCAAGTAAATGCTTTTTTGGGGGGGGGGACAGACTCTCACTCTGCTGCCAGGCTGGAATGCAGTGGCATGATCTCAGCTCACTGCAACCTCTGCCTTCCAGGTTCAGGTGATTCTCCTGCCTCAGCCTCCAATTAGCTGGGATTATGGTGCCCACCACCACAGCTGGCTGATTTTTATTTTTTTTAATACAGACAGGGTTTCACCATGTTGGCCAGGCTGGTCTCAAACTCCTGACCTCAGGTGATCCACCCGGCTCAGCCTCCCAGACTGATGGGATTACAGGCACAAGCGACCACACCCAGCCAGAGAGCGTATTTTTTTAAAGTGTTTTAGTAAAAGAAGGTATTCTGTAACAATGTGAAAAATTATCCCCAAAATTGTTTTAGATGTTGTGATTCCCTATAAACTATTCCCAAAGGAGACACATGTGTGTTAGTAAAGGCTCAGCAAAAGACAGATAAAAGAAAAGCTAATCTTGAAACTAAAACCTTGTTCTATCTCCATGGGCACTCCTTTGAAAAACACTGCATTTTATATTCTATGCAACCTCAGAGAGTGGCACCCATATGCAATAAAATAAAATCTGATTTCATCTCACCCACAGTAACACAGAAAATGAATGTGTCATAATCTTCACTAGCTCCACCAACATTTTATTAAGTGATTTTACTCCCGATGTTCTTACATCTCTTCATTTATGTTTCTCTTAAGTTATTATTAATTCTACTACTAAATGAAGGGTCAAAAAGTATGGGAAGACTTAAATGCTAAGTTAATCCATATATCCATTTGCTTTAGCAAAGGATTGAGTGGTAGGTGCTTTTAATGATTCTTATGAGGCTACTATGATGGTCTTTCCGACTCCATCATTTGCCTCAATCCACACCAAAAAACTTCCTCATCTCTCAGAGAATCTTTAAAAAATTAAGTGAAATCCACTGAAAGGGAACTAAATCAAAATGAAGTATCTGTAATCGGTAGTAAAAGAAGGATCACCATATGATGAGCTAGAGACTAATCTCATTTGAATTAGACTTTGATTGCTTATTAAGACAGAATTGTGAGTGCAGGTATAAACACTCATTCCCTCTCCTTCAGAGCCAAAGCAATGAAACACTCACACAAATACACATACAGACATATATTTATATATTTAAGTTATATTATATACAATATTTAAAAAGACAAAACTGAACTCAGAAACAAGATCAACATTCTATAAAAGAAATGCAAAACAGTAGTATAACTTCCTAGGCTCTTGGACTGGAAATAAGAAATTTCAAAATGGAGTGAGGGAGGAGAATAACAGGAACTCAAAGTGCTCCGTCTGTGTCAAGAGATAGGGGCTAGCCTCAGGATGTAAAACCAGAGGTTGGGTTTAGTTTCCCTGATTTATGAGAGGAGCCTTGACAAAAAATCGTAACTATTGCCCAGGGCTGAGGAGCCTTGACAAAAAATGGTAACTATTGCCCAAGCTGCAGTTAGGAGAGTAATTGGATCCAAGATTACTTCTCATTCTGGATCCTGTTGCTCTCTGAGTTAGCCACCAAGACTTGTAAAACATCAGTACCCCTGCCAGACTGGAGACCCAAAATGCCAGTGCATGGCCTAGTTCTGAATAGAGAGGAGCTGGATGCAGGTAGTGGCAAAACTAGTAGGAAACATATAGAACCACCAGGAGAAAAGAAATACAAAACAAACAACAGCAACACGAACCACAACTAAAAATCTCTCACTCAAAAGGAATTAGCAAACAAAAATTTAATCTCATATGAGAAAAATGCCACACAATACAGCTGACATTCTAAACAATTGAGAGAGTTCACTTTGGGGAAATGCAAATAATAAAAATCTGAAAATAGTGTATAAATAACTGTTTAAAATACTTGTAGAAATAAATAGAAATAACATAATTCAAGTATAACAGACTGTAAATTATTATTATAAACTGAGAACATGGTTATGATGAAGATGGAGTTATAAATGCTAGAAAGAAAATTACCATAACTAAAATTAAAACTGAAGAAGAGACTAATCCTGAGCTGAACACAGCTAAAGAAAAAATGATTCAACTGAACGATTACATCAGAGAAACAAGTAAATGACAACTATGTAAGAGAATTCTAGGTAACATGCAGATTAGCTTGAGAAGCTTTCTATTTTATTCAGGATGGGAGGGTCAACATTGCAGTAGCAAATATTCCCAAGTATCAGTAGCTTCATAAAAGTTTATTTGCCATTCATTCGGTCCCTCTTTCATAATTGCTAAAGCAGAAGAAAAGAGACTAGAGACTTGAGCAGAGGCCTTTCCTTGCTTCAACCTGGCAATAATACACATCACTTCTCTCACATTTTATTGTCCATAATTAGTTACACAGCTCTGCTTAACTGCAAGGGGCTAAGAGGTATAGTCACACATATGTCCTTGAAGGAATAACTATTACAATATTAGTGAGCACTACTAATGTCTCTCTGCTCGCACACCTCACTAACAGGAGCTTCAGAAGTTGCAAGTTGAGAGAATGGTGAAAAACCAATATTTTTAAAAAGAATCATAATAATGCCTGAGAATTTTTAAGAACTGAAGTAAAATGTGGTCTGGCACGGTGGCTCACGCCTGTAATCCCAGCACTTTGGGAGGCTGAAGTGCGCAGATTTTTGAGGTCAGGAGTTCAAGACCAGCCTGGCCAACATGTTAAAACACCATGTCTACTAAAAATACAAACATTAGCTGGGCATAGTGGCACACACCTGTAACCCCAGCTACTCAGGAGGCTGAGGCAGGAGAATCGCTTCAACCCGGGAGGCAGAGTTGGCAGTGAGCCAAGATCACCCTACTACACTCCAGCCTGGGGGACAGAGCGAGACTCTATCTCAAAAAAAAAAAAAAAAAAAAAAAAAAAAAAGAAAAACATATTCTCAGATAGAAAGCAAAAACTGGAAGCCAGATAAATTAAAAGTAAATTCATATTTAGATGCATTATAATAAAACTAGAATGCATTAACGATAAAGAGAAAACTTGAAAAGCCTCCTAAACAAAAGATAAATTACCTATTGGCAACTGATGCTTAAACTAGCAGCATATAGCATATATCTCAACTGCAACAGCAGCCAGACTATTCGAAAATGCTGAGAAGTAGTAACTAACAGTCCAAAATTTTACGCCCAGCTAACCTAAGTTTCATCAGTGATGATAAGACAAAGAACCCTCCATACATGCAACTAAGGAGTGTTCACTGCCAAAAGATGCTCCCTGCAAGAATTACTAAAGGATATTCTTCAGGAAGAAAAAAAAAAAAAACATGGAAAGAAGAAATGAAATGTATAAAACAGTGACGAAAGTAATTATAAAATCTGGTAATTCTTACTAGAAACTGAGCGTAAAAAACTAATTCAGAGGGCTTTAAAAATATATGTAGAAGAACAATTGCAGACATTAGTAAGATAGTAGGAGAAGATGAGTGAGGCTGGATTGCAGCAGAGTTCCTCATGTTGTTCCGGAGGAAGATAGAAATGTTAAATAAGTTCAGAATTTTCTAGAACAAAATATGAAATTAAGTTTGCATATTGAGTTAAAGGCTTTCATGTAATATCTCCCAAATCCTGTTTTTGAGTCTCTATAACAATGACAACAAAGCAAAAACAAATGGGGTCACTGTGATAGTTTCCTTCTGGTTTAAGCAATATCAAGTGTGTACAGACTGGTTTGGCTGATTGATGATAAGTGTTCAATTCAAGGTGCTGAAAAATGAAAAATAAGTACGACTCTACTCTCAGCAACAATACTTGCAAAGTTATTATCACTAGGTGGTCTACAGAGTAATGAAAATAGTACATTGTGAGTTCAAAGGAAGGAGACAGCATTCAGTCATGGAAATCAAATAATGTAGGTGGTATCTGATTGAGAATGGAAGGGTAATAAAGACATGTGTCAAGAGGCAGGGTGAAGGAAAAAGTCATTTCACAAGAAAAAAGGCATTAGTCAAGGCAGTGCCTTAGGCAGACAAAGGTAGGGCAGAGGAAGCAGTCTTCTCCAGGCACAGGCAATTAAGGGGTGCACTGCCTGCAGATAAACTAAAACCATTCATAAGGCTGATGATATGTTGGTTAGCTTTTTATGATCACCACATGCCCATCAAATTTCAATGACAAAACATCCTAAAAACATTTTATTGGTCTAATGTCTAAACAACTATATCATTATTATTGAGTTTAATACTGTACATAAGTTCCAAGTTGGCAATTACGCATCCTTTCATAAACATGGTATTCTGCATAGAAGTTTGGAGAACAACCAACATACAATTAATTTCCACTTATTTCTAATAGATGAGACCTAATCTCTAACAGATAAGAACTAAACTACACATAATCATTACAATCTTTTTTTTTTAAAGACAACGTCTCCCGCTGTTTCCCAGGCTAGAGTGCCATGGTACAATCTCTGCTCACTGCAACCTCTGCTTCCCAGGTACAAGCAATTCTTTTGCCCCAGCCTCCTGTGTACCTGGGATTACAGGTGTGCGCCACCATGCCCAGCTAATTTTTTTGTATTTTTAGAAGAGACAGGGTTTCGCCATGTTGGCCAGTCTGATCTCAAACTCCTGACCACAGGTGATCCACCCACCTCAGCCTCCCAAAGTGCTGGGACCATAGGCATGAGCCACCATGCCCAGCCAACAAGTGTAATTTTTATAACAGTTCAGAATCATCTGAGTTTGCTTTAGTTGCAATTTGTGTCTCTAACACATGTAGTACTATTATCTGTTTCAAAATAAGCAATAGTAATGCAGTCTTTGTAAAGAAGAATCAGAACTTAAATTACCTTAATTCTATCATCCTATGTGCCTACTTGGAATTTTGTTTGTGTTTAAATCAATGAAGCAGTATAAACTCTAAGATGTAACATTTTCATTTGCTTACTATTAATTTTATTGCATGTGTAGAACAATTCATAATATTTGAATTAAACCTTAAAATTAAAATGTACTCTAATTTCATTGTTGTTTTGAACCTAAAGAACAAATCAAAAAGTAATAATATTACTGATATTACCCTATTAGTAAAAAGTTATCTTGTTATATAGAGGAGAGGATATTTTAAAAAATCTGAGTATCAAACATACCAGGTGCACAAGCTGGAAATGTAGGAAGTCATAGCTGTGTGTGATACAGCAAGTCATATTTACTTCAAAAACTTCAAGAGGCCAAAGCTTTATAATTCAAACTTGGATTTCATAATGTATCTATAGAAAATAAAAAATAATCTGAATAAGTGAAAAGTACCGCATTTACTCTTGCTGTAATTTTAATAAATTTACCCTATCTTCCCAAAATAGTGACAAAGTAGAGTTATAATTAAACTTTATAAGATTCCTCAGGATTCCTCTGTGATGGTAATCAAATAGAAAGTTATATAAAGGCCGCAGTACTGGGCATCCTTAGGAAACGATGACCATTGGAGTGTCCTTCAATCTTCCCTCCACCTTTTCTTTTCCAGTTTCTACCATTTCATCCTAATTGAAGCCCACATTACACTACTGTCATAACTCACTACCTGGTTTCTTTTCTTCTGTCTCTTCACTTACTGCACCCACCCAGAATACTGGTGTTTTCTCACACACACAAGAGTCTTTCCTTCTAGAGCCTACAGAACCAGTCCTCCATGATGTGATCACAAAATAATTTTATTGCCAGCCAAACTACAATGGCTCTGAAACCTGTTTTTCACCCACAGTGGATGCCTGACCATAGACCAGAAGAGACATGCTTCCTCCTGCATTTAGGGTTCGGCTCTCACAGCTCATTCAAACCACAGTGCCCTTCCCCTTACTTTCTTGTGTTTAAATCTGACTTGTTCCTGAAGCACCTAACCATGCATTTCTTCATAAAGCCTTCCTAGTTTATCTAGCAATAATTAATTTTCTTCCCCTTCATTCCCACAGTCTGTTACCTACTGGGTAAATGTGTTTGTACTAATCGGTCTCTTTGAGCCTCAGATTCTAATCTGTAAAATGGACATAACAATGATACTGATCTCAGAATCACAAGGGTAAAATGAGATGAAGCAATACTTTTCAAGCTATACAACACTGATGTTTCACTTACTTAACTTGCAATTCTGATTTGCACAAAAGTTAATGTCTGTCTTCCCCAAGGTACAGAACCATCTGCCGTATATCCTTTTTTCCCTAGCACTTACTCCTTCACCAGGAATTGCGTATGGCCAATGGGAAGAAATCAGTTTTCTAATGAGAAATAAAATGTGGTTCATTAGACTACCAGGTTCTTAAAATCTAATTACATGACATAGCCCTAATAAATTTAAAATCACTGTTCTTAAATTCATGGAATTTTATCTTACCATCTTCCATTTTTTTTTCTCTCAACCAAAAGTTTTAGAAATACAAAGGCCAAGACTAGGAAGAAGCTTCCTAAAATAATAAAAAATATATATGAGGCTGCCAATCAAAATATCCCCAACTTTATCCATTGGGATTGTCTATGAAAGACTGCTAATCATTTTTGGACTTTCCAAACTTCAGTTTTAAACTACTATGATGCTTTATATTTGACTCCCTCTTGAGCTATAAAAAACCCCAGTACAGACTGAGGATAAGTCTTGGTTATAATAACAATCATTGATTATCATGGAAATGGAAAGTTCAATCTAAAAAGAAAACTGCTCATCCTCAAAATGAAAATTCAGTCTAGAGTCTGAAATTAATTTGTCTCAATGTGCAACTGTGATGGTTAGTGGAAGCACGTGGCACAGTGCAAAAGCTTCTCCTCCTTGCTGAAGTTAAACAAACAAATGTTCAAATTTACACACAACTCCTAACTTGAGATGTGGCCTTGAGCAAGCTGCTTAATTTCTCTAAATCCCAAATCCCAATTCCTCTTTAACAAACAGAATAAACAACACCTCTAAAATGGTGTAATCACTAAGGAAAGTAACGTAATTCAAACACTTAGAACCATGTCTAACACAGATATGTTCCATAAATAATTATCATTATCATTAATAATTCTGAATTATGTTGAAAAATAATTTTTTGTGTGGTTTGTGTATTTTTTCTAAAATAACTGTTATTTTACTTTACAAGTTAATTCTTTTACTTTTTCAATTGAAGAATGATATTCAAACAGAAAAGTATACAAACTATCAATGAGCAGCGGGATCTACTTCCACAATATAAATGTATCATGTAACCTTTAGCTACAGCAAGAAAGAGAATGTTACTCACATAGCAGAAGCCCCTACTTTGCCCCACTTTCAAGTACTATCCTAAGAATAATCACTAATTGTTTTAGAACACACACTAATTTTGCCTGTTTTTGAACGTTATGTGAGTAGAATCTTACTGTATGTACTTTTTTGTGTCTGGCTTCTTTTATTCAACATTTTGTTTCTGAGATTCACTCATATTGTGTATAAATTAATAACTCTTAATGTGATATTTTCAATTATATACTCATGAAACTAAAATATGTTAAATAATATTTCTCTGAAAATATAGTTATTAATTCTGTATTACTTAGACTTACCTAGTTGGGTAATATGCAATAATCACAGTCCATCAAATGTTAGGTTTGTATTAGCATTCTTTGACTTTCACATAAAATAAATTAAAAAATAATTTGTGGTACCATTTCTTGCTGCTTCTAATATTCAGTACCTTCTACACTGGGAATATCTAAAGGAAGATGGGAAGTCATGAAACAGAAGAACACCTCAAAGAACTCCATATGAACAGTAATTACTGTTCAAGTACATCTGAACTGTCATGAGCAATAAGACCTTCGGGTTTTGTTCTGCCAGGCATAACAAGTACCTCTAATGTCACCAGTTTCCAAATTTGACTCTGACATGGGACAGAGGAGACTGGTGACAGATGGGCAAAATTTAGCATGTGGCTTGGACAGTCTTTGGGATGGAAGTCTTGTTATCTGTAACTTGCTGCCAAGTCCTGCATGTTACTTTATAACAGACACCACTGGGAAACTTTGTACCTTCAGCCAACAACACAGATTTAAGAGAACCAGATTTCTTCACTGTTAGTATTTGTAACATTTCACCCACATTGGGCTCCTCTGCAATAATGAAATAGTCACCAGTATGAATCTGAATGAGAAAAGAAAAACATTTTGATACAACAGACTGATTTTTTTTTTTTTTTTTTTTTTTTTTTACTTAGGACAGTAGCTTATTCGACATGAAATCTGCCATTTCTAAATCAATTCTTCTTTGCTTTACTGAGGTGTTTCAAATTCATTGGCCTTTTGACCAAATCTTGCTCCAAACATCTTATTATAATTAGTTTTAAAGAACAATAAGAACCCTTAAGGTTGGATGTGTAAAATATGTTCTCTAATTGTTATTTATCAATGTGTCTAACCTAAACAGAAAGCAATTTTTTATAAATGGTGAGTTACCACAGACTGAGTCACATATAATTAATAATGAATAATCCATGAATAAATTAACCTTACTGCTGCAGTCCTGGGGCCTTTCCATTCAGTTCAGAGAAGCAGATATGCTGCAAAACGTTTCCTGATGGCTCAGTACAAACACAGACACTTTAAGACTAGCATTTGGGATTATTTATCCTCTACCTTCTACTAGTTTGTCTATATAAGAGCTGTTTACATAGTTAGAAGTGTTTCCTAAACACTGGTTGAGAAAATACTTTACTAGCAAAATGTTTTACCTAGTTATTTTATTAATATTTACGATAATGCTAGAATAGATTTTCATTTTATGATAAAGCTTTTTATGGATTTAATAACTGACTTTCTGCTTCTTTAGAGAATAGTTGATCCACTTAAGAAAATCTACTCATTAGCTCATCCTTCATTCATACTCTTTCTAACTTTCAAATATTCTCCTCCCTCCAAATTCTACTTATTTTGTCAAATGTTCAGCTGTAAATAGCATACAGTATTATTACAATGCTTTAAACAAATAATGAAAGTTCAGAGGTAGGCGGTTGAACTCACAGATTCAACCACTAAATGAAGACATCAGGGATAGAGACACTTTCTATATTTGTGCCCTGCTTTTCTAGCTATGTGAACCAGTTATAGCCAATGACATCTAAAGGGATGTCAGTCATGACGGGCTTTGTTTTAAACCCTAGGAAAAATGTGATACCTAAAAGGTGTGGCAGCCACTTTGCAACCATGATTTCAAAATGCCTTAAATAACTAAGAGTTTATTTACCTCCCATAGCCAGAAGTACAAGGGAGTTGTACTCATTAATTCAACTTCTAAATGAAACAACAAACAGATGAAAGCAAAGATGACCAGACTGGCTAAGCCAACAATGTGTGTTCACTTTTACCAAGAAAGTAAAGGCTTTTCTAAGAACTACCATAGCCCTTGGACCTTAGACCTCATTGGTCAGAATGGGATCTCATGTCTGAGAAAGTAGGGAGCAGGAAGGTCATAAAAGGCTTACATTGTCTTGGGCTAAACGACAATGGAAGAAAACAGATAATGAGTAAGCACCTAACATATTTGTAACAAAATCCCTCTAAATATTTGTGCATAAGAGAACTAATGATTATGTAATTGAACTGTTCCTTTAAAACCATGCTTCCCATAATAACAATGTTCAAGCAAAGATTATGTAAACCCAACTAAACTACAACATAGTATCAGCCCTCTTTTGATACCAATATTTGATGTATATTTCAATATATGTCAGTTAAGCATTTCATAAATATTTTGTGTTTATTATGCCAGGATTGGCACACTAATGCACTAACACCAGAATAGCTCATTATACGTTGCATCAGTATTTTATAGATTGCTTACACTTCACAGGGCCCTAGAATTACCACCACCATCTCAGTTTCTCTCTGAATCCCTAGGGCCAACTCATATGGAGAATGAATCTTTAAAATCTCTTGAGCCTGCTGCATTCTTGTGCCACACCCTGAAGGCAATTCAAAAGGTCCCTGAAGTTAACTCGGAGTTCAGCGGCAACCAGCCAGTGAAAGCTGTCATGTGAGACTGGTAGCCCTCAGCATCCTCTGGAGATGGCTGGATTGACATGAATCCACTACCTGCTAGAATAACCTAATTATGCCTAAAGGTTTTCACTGAAAAGGCTTTACTCCAGGTCCATGTCACTCTCCCTGTGGGTGAAGTCAGCTATCCAGTGACTTTCAAGCACTCTCTGCATGTGGCTTTGTAACACATGAAGAAGTTCCTGAAATGTCAATCCTAAGGGACAAGTGTTCGTGTCACTAAAGCAATACATCATAACCTCTGCACTTTCTGGATCTTTCAGACAAAAGCCAAAAGCTATGAAAGCCACAAGGAAATTATTCTTGCTATCCAAGAGTTGGTATTTCCAAAGAAAAATATATGTATTTTAGGAGATTTATGGGGATGAATTTGCAGTGTAGTAGTTCCTGCAAAGCCTGTCCTATGAATAAAAAGCCTTCAGTTCCTAAAGTCTGAAAATCTGGTAACATTCAGAGCTTATGGATTTAAAAAGGAAAAAAAGTTAAAGTGTGACATTTCTTTTAACCCACAATTTTACAGCTGGAAGAAATCTTTTCCACTCTTAGATGGCATAATGTGAAAATCCAAGCAACCAAGCTTAAGGTCTGTAAATTCACCACTTTTATTCTACTACCAAATTCCAAGATTTATTGAACATCTCCTCTCATACTACTCTGGGCTTTATGAGCTAACCAGATTTGACCTTTAAAATAGTAGAAGCATCTGGATTATTTCAACTGATTTTCCTACTGGCAGTTTTTTAGGTCCTCATTATATTTCTACTCTCCCTCTGACTCCACATACAAAATATAGAGGAGAAAAGTCTAAAAATATTTCTAGTTTTTAATACTTTAAGGTTTAATTAAACAGTACTTCTAATTTTTAATACCTTAAGGTTTGCTTAATTAAAATTATCTGACGATAAGTATTGGTGCATTACCATACTAGACATCAAAATGCTTCTTTATACACAGCTGCTGAATTAACTTCACTAGCCCTGATTTCAATTCATATTTCACAATCTCCATCCCTCTCTAAAATGCTCTTTTATACCCCAGCAGCTGTTCTAAGAGCATAATACCTTACTGGTCCAAACTCAGATCATTAAGATCAAAGATATAGAAAGGGAAGCATGATTTAGGTCCAATGTTATAACTTTTAATGATACACACTCTGTATTTTTTATCTCAATATCTCAAAGGGAATTTTCTTAATGGGGTTTCATAATCATAACAGGTCCATGGGAATGCAAAAGAGCTCCAGGGCACTGCTGGAAAGTGCATCTTAAAGTCATAAGGACATCTTTGGCTACGAATAGGTGAGATAATGCTATAACTTTGGGAAAGAAGCACCTCTCTCTGAAACAGGGTAACATTTACTGGATCGATTAAAAATCAGTCTGTCACATTAGGTCATCTATTTTTTTCTGGTCCCACATTTTCTGAAAATAAAATAGGAAAAATAATGCTAGCTACTGCAGTAGGGATTCTTGTAACAAATCAGTAAAAATTATGCTTGCATCACATTTTGTGAAGTCACTATACTGCAACGTTGTCCAAGTGTATGCACCATTGCAAGAAATAGAGGATTAGGAAATTATGTAAAAGTACCAACAAGTAGTAAAGCTAAAATCTTGTCTCTATTAACTATTTACTAACATTGCCACAGGGAAATTTTTGCTTTATATTTAGTGTATTAACAGCAAACATTTTCATCCATTCATCCAGCCAATCATTTGCTCATTGGGCAAACGTGGTAGAGCTGTTGTTTTCAGCACAGTGCTGAGCAATGAAAATACTAGACGTAAGATGATTCCACCGTGTGATAGTCTGCCACCAACAAAGAATCTCTGAGCCTGGTTCTTGACAAGAACACGACTAGCATAGACAGAAAATACATTTATTTTGTCATCCTCACTAAAGTTCACTAACTCCTCTTGTAAAATAAGGACAAATGCACTTTACCTCACTTGTGAATACTTACGAATATTTTTCCAAACAAGTAAATTACCTATATTTAAACCACCTGATGAATAACGGCTAATACTTATTTTGAGTTTATTATATTCTGAACGCACCTGTTGAAGTCTTTTACATGCATTCTCTCATATAGTCTTCATAATGCTTTACAAAGGAAGTAGTATTTTTATCCCCACTTTATAAAATACGCCACAGAGAAAAATTCAGATATTTGGTAGCTTGCCTGGGTAGTAAATATTTGTACCTAGGCCCGTCTGACTCCGAAGCTGAGTTTCTTAACTCAGCTTAACATGGATATAAACGAATTTCAAACCTGCTGCATGTCTAAGCAAAACGTGCCTCAGTGTTTGCACATATCCATGTTAGCATTCAAAGCACACATTTAGAAGGCATAGAATTGCAGAATTGGAAGAAAACTTAGACACCATTTAGTTCAATCTATCCTTTTACAGTTAAAAGGTAGACCTTAAAATTAAGAGAAAAAATAACTATTGAATGAAAAAACTAAAAGGAGTAAGAGAAAAAGCTGAATAAGGCAAAGGAAGTGAGGAATCCTGCATTATTCATCTTTGTATTCCTAGTACTTAATACAATCCTTAGCAAATAGTTAAAACTCAACATACTGTTCAATTGGAGTACATTGCATGTTATAAGTTTTTTAAACTCGTCTCTTAAAAGTCAAGGGCACAGGACACTTTCAATTGCTTAAGGCTTACAATGTATTAAAAATTAAGCAATGAAAAAACTGTGATATATTTTATATGTTCAATCCTGTTAGTTAATGTTTGTAATTATCCATACAACTTCATTTGGATATAAGGCCTAAAGTATTCCTTCTACCCAAGGTGTAACAGTGAAATACTTTGAGATCCTATCTTAGGTAAGCCTTACAGTTCTATGGTGTGAATAGATTATTACCCCCAAATACAAACAGTTTAGGCAACTCTTACTATCTTCACACATTTGAAAGTGATATGACACTTTATATTCTATGTCCTTAGACTTTTAAAAATCCAAGAGTACTTATGTAATATTTTTACAAATTAGCAAATAAAATATATATAAACTAATTTCAGAGACATTAAATTATTAAATTGTCAGTATATCAAACCAACAAAAATTTGAAGTTTTATTAAAAATTTTCTTCCCTAGAATGTTCTACTGAGTTTACCAATTTTAATGAATATATTCAGAAACTGTGTAAGGATTATCCTTTTAAAATGCACTTAATCGAAACAGCACTAAATTATATGTGGATGCTTAGAGTTTCCTCATGTGTTGATTACCAGGATGCATGTTAGATTTCTCAGGAATTAGATTTGATACTATCTCCTTATTATGCAAAACCATGAAAAACATTTAATTAAAACTTAATTAAAATCTCCATGATGCCTCAACCCCATAGAGTCCATTTTTCAAGAACAAGCAGCAAAGAAAGCCTCCAGGACAGTTTTTGAAAAATGATGTATAGGAACTCACTTTTCTCAGATCCTGTAACTTCACAAATAACTTCTTTTTTCATTTCCATCAGCCTATAAAGTGACAGATTAATACGAAAACTGGTAATTAACAATTATAAATAAATACAGAGATTTAGATCAGTTACTAATACTTCATTTCTTCTAGAGCTTTTATATATCATTTCAGAACATGAGAAAATTCTTATAGTATTATGTCTGCCATGTAGTAGGCTTCCAATAAGTATTTAATAAAATGAATGAATGTTAACTATGTATATATTAAAAACTCTAATACCCTGATACAATGTCTTTCCTAAAATATTTATTGTAAAATATTTGAACTAGTAGTTTTCATTGTGATTAGAATAATTTTGTTTACGTAGATATACTTTGTGTAATAGGATAAGTTATAGTATAAAGTGACCTATGTGGAGGAGAAAATTTCAAATATAGCCTTATTCTGTAATTTCTAAGAAGATAATTCATTCTTCTCACATAGTTTTAACTCACATCAGAAAACAAGAGCTCATAAAAACATTCATACTCAACAATAAAAAGAAATGAACTGCTGATACATGCAACATCATGGATGAACCTCAAAAAACATTCTGCAGGAAAGAAACCAGACACAATAGAAGGAATATGTGATGATGCCGTTTACATGGCATTCTGGAGGAGGAATAACTAAACTATGGTGATAGAAATCAGAGCAGTGGTTGCCTGGGTGGCCATGAAGGTGGCCAGGGGTGCAGCTTCCATTCAGGGGATGATGTAATGGAGCAGGAGAAACCTGTGGTGATGAGATGTCCTATATTTTGATAAGCATGTAAGTTACAAAGGTGTATGCTCATTTCAAAATTTTTTGTTTGTTTGTTTTGTTTTGTTTTGTTTTGTTTTTTTGAGATAGAGTCTCGCTCTGTCGCCCAGGCTGGAGTGCAGTGGCGCGATCTCGGCTCACTGCAAGCTCCGCCTCCTGGGTTTACGCCATTCTCCTGCCTCAGCCTCCTGAGTAGCTGGGACTACAGGCGCCCGCCACCGCGCCCGGCTAAATTTTTTGTATTTTTAGTAGAGACGGGGTTTCACCGTGGTCTCGATCTCCTGACCTTGTGATCCGCCCGCCTCGGCCTCCCAAAGTGCTGGGATTACATGCGTGAGCCACCGCGCCCGGCCTTCATTTCAAAATTTTTAAAGTGCACACTATGATCTGTGCATGTTACTGTACGTCATGCTTCATTTTTTTAAAAATTAATGTTACATGTACCAGACGTAATTCATCTTAAGGAAATCAGTCCTCCAAATATGATGCTGTTGTAGTTTTTGGAACTCCTCTTTTGGAATTGTATTCAGAGATGAGAATATATTTCTTTGATATCAGTAGCATAAAACCACCTAAGGGTAAAATTGTTCAGGGTCAAGTTGCACATTCCACGTGGTTAAGCTAGAAAAGACTATTTATGCTCGTCATGGTGAAATAGTGACTAATTTAATGAGACTAAATTTTCTCACAGATTATTCACACACAAACACAAACAAATAGTTAAAAACTAATTGGTATGGTAAATCTAAGTTAAGCTTTCCAAAAAACTTCTTCGTTAAATGTGGAATCCCTGAAATAAGTTCAAAGCCTCCCTATGTCCATACTTTAAGGGGAGCAACTTTAATCACATGTATAAGAGATGGTAAAATACAATGGAATAGATGAGGTCATTACACCTATTTTGTTGTGCGCACGCACACATATATACATCATTATGACTTAAAATAAGATTTACACTAGAAAATAGCTTATTTTTTCTTCATTATAGAATGTCTGTAAGACATAGATATTCCCAGATAAAATTTTAATTTGCAATTATGCTCAAATTTATTCCCTCCTAACAGGAAAAAGGTCTCTGCTCTTTATTAAATTTTATTTACCATCTAATATGTATGATGCAGTGACCACATTTGTCTCCCTATTGCTCCTTCCCAATGAGACTGCAACAGAATCGATTGAATCTTTAACACACCACATGGGATGGCAATCTCTAGTATCATGCTCTTATTTTATTCCAGTATTGGAATGGAGAGCATAAATTCTCATAATACAGAACTCATGTTAGGAAAATAAAATAATTAACTGCCAGAATGACCGGAGTCCAGCCCTCAAAAAGAATTGGGTATTTAAACTTAAATGGGTTATATACAACAACAAATCCTACATAGATCTATGAAACCTGAGTTTATTGCCTTATAAAATTTTTTGGCCAAAAAAATCTCAAATTTAAAAAGTTATTTTTGTGTAATAAACAGTCTATCTGAAGTTCTAGTTCCTCATCAGGTGCATGAAAACTCAACCCAGGGTTCTCATTTCTTTGTCCTAAATATGAGAGGTTTGAATTAGATGTCCTCCAAACTCCCCACCAATGCTGTCACCATATTTTTCTATGAATCTATTTGATATAAGTGAGATAGTAGCCCAAAGCCAACTAAAGTTACTGTAGCTATTGCCTTAAGGTAGAGACACATGAAACATGACCAAAAAAGTAAATGAAAAGTAGGTGTATGATCCTGAGTTCTCCCTTCACGAAATCACAGTAGTCTGCACAGATAACTTGAGAGAACAAGTAAAAGTATTCTGAGGATTCCAAAACAACTTTAGGATAATTCTGTTAAGTTAGCTATTATATCTGTTATTTTAAATGTACGTAGCATTTCATCATCATTAAATGCACTACTAATAGATTTGTTGTATGTTAATCAACCATGCTACTTAGAACACTTGGGCATTTCAGAGATCAGGAAAGGGGTTTAAAAAATCCTTTCCTAAGAATATGAAAGTACTAACTACTAATATAAACATCAGAAATCTGAATTGTTGGTCTGCTTCTGTCCAATGGGAGATGAACGACAGTGAATGTAAAACTGAATTTACATTTCTAGTTGTTCATCTCCCAGTGCCTAGAGATTATCCTGTTCATATACCTATTGAAAACTAACTCAGAAAGATGAAAAATTATACTATGTTTACAACCTTTCAGAAAGAGTCTGCAAACTGCCTTAATAATCATTCTAAAATGTAACCACTTTTATTGTCAAGAAATTATTTTCTATGTCAAACATAAATTATATTACCCAAGAGTCTCCTCTTGGGGAAGTTAAGCAATCCCAGATCACTTTTCCTGTGGGTCTTCTTTTCTAATACCTCCTGTAGTAGCATCCTGTTTTAATCTTTGTGATTATTCTTCATAGACACCATATTCTAATGATTACCTAGCCTAGGGGCTGGCAAATTACAACCCACAAGCCAAATCTACCTCTATTTCTAAGTAAGGTTTTATTGAAACACAGCCATGATCATTCATTTATGTATTTATGTATTGTCTAAGATGCCTTATGTGCTTATAAAAAAAGATAATACGGCCTGCAAAACAAACAGATATTTCCTGTCTCTTTACAGAAAAACTTGCAGATCCCTGATCTAGTCAATGAAGTAACTTGAAATGTACAATTACTTCAGGTTTCATTTTACTTGTGTAAATACAGGGCCTGAGCAGTTTTATCATACACTTTCTAACAATCTCAGATCCTCTTTGGTATAACATAACATCCTAAAATATTGGTTCCCAGCAAATGTGTAAGAGTATCATATAAGAGGCCCAATATAAGTTGATGATCAGTTTCAACTCCAAGCAGAGAAATCGTTTTCAGCAAAAAGTGTTAAAACTTCCTCCACAATCAGGGTACATATAGGAACACAGCGAACCTCAGAATTATTTCAGTAAAGGTGCACTGAAGCTGTCCATTCATAGCACTGTTATCACCTCCCAATAATCTGATACATTCTCTTTCCTTAGCTTAATGGTGTATTGTGCATATCTGAGGAGACCATACCAAATGCTTCCAGAGCCAGAAAGCCATATAAATTGGTGGAGCAGGCTGCTGTGAGACTGTAGGGCATGGTGGGGTCTGTGGAGACCCTGAGCACATTCAATTGCCCAAATATATGAGCACTGATCTCCAAAGGGCTGCTGTGCAGTAATATGGGCCCAGAGTAGACAAATGTTTTTCAAGGGAAACTGAACAGCAAGATTCAAATTTCTTAGTACACTCTTAGTGCCAACACTGTAAAGGCTGTAAAACTGAACCTGTGTCCACTTAAAGTTGTAAAAATCTTTAAGATGTACTTGTCAATTGAGAATATGTCTGTGGAGGAGAACTGACCTTAGTTAAATCTCCTGGTTTAGAAATGAAGAAACTAAAGCATAGGAAAATTAAATTATTAGCCTAAGACTGTACTGAGTGTAGCTAGTCTGGGGCTAAAATTCTAATAGACTTGTACTTTCAGCATAATAATAGTTCTACTTTCAGCATACCACTCCACAAATGCTTCTTAATTTGGAGCGATTTAAGGGACCCACTGAGAATCTGGTAAGACTTAAGGATTCTTTCAGAGAAAAATATACCTAAGTGCAAATTCACCAAAAAATTGGCTTGTAATATAAAGGATTTCATTCAGTCATGGAGCTTAACCATGCACATCCCCTTTTCAGGGATTTCTGGACACAAGGTTTAGTATTTTTTAATTATCCAATATGAAGAATCATAATAATCCAATTACATCAGACAAAAAAATCAAAAGCTTTACAACATTCGAGATAGGCTTCATTTACTACTTCTGTTCATTTGTTTGATCATTATGTCACCTAATTATACCAGAGCAAATTTGTCAGACAGAACATGTTCCCAAACTAATAATACTGGTTTTATAACATTCTTTGTTTAATTTAAAATGATCAGTACTTTTGTTCAACTCAATTATAGTATCATTTAGAATAAATTATTTGATTTCAACCATCCCAAAATATATGAAGAAAATCTCTTTTCTTGGACACTGATGTGCACTTATTCTCAAAAGCACCTTGCTCACTAGCTTCCTCCAGGAGAAGTCAGCACCTCTCCCTTATTTTCAGAACAACTTGTATACTGCTCTTGTTAACTTTTTGGGAATTTTTGCTTATGGACCTCATCTCCAACTATACTGTTAGTCTTTTGAAGATGGAGCAAAAACTTAATTAAGCTCTGAGTATAAT